AAAAAAAAAAAACTTCCTGACTTTATATAACTTTATAAAAATAACCAACATGCAAGAAAACAGAAAAGTCCCATTTAGACCCTCATGACTGTCAAGCATTAGGTTTAAAAATATCTCACATTTTCATCTTTTTGTGAAAAACTAGCTTTGTGGATCAAACCCTATCAATTCTTAATAGGCTATTTATAACTCTACATGCATAAATGCACAAACAATTCATTAAAAACATTGTGAATGATTAAGTGCACACGTGTGTTGAAAGTCCAGTGAACTTGATGGTTGCACCACTTGACACATTTATGTGCAGAAAATTGTCTCTCTTATTTTCAATTGTATGTAACCATGAGTGCAGATATTACATTTCTAAGAACTTTCCACATGTGTTTAAACCATTTCAGAAAATGTATTTTTCAAAAACTATGGGTTAAAAAATAGATTTTAGAACGTCCATCATCTTCGACATTCTCGTTTCTCATATACAATTAATTGATATACGATTTTAAAACCCTTTAATTTATAATGAAGAACTGCGTAGTGACAGGCCTTACTATAAATGTTCGCTCTCTCTTTCTATTTATAAAGGAATCTCTCTCTTAAGGAAAACCCATCGTGTTCTTCTTCTTCTATCCTCAATGCATAGGTGTTTAGATGTTGATCTTACCTCAGCGGCTGCTGAAAGCAGAGAGCAGCAGAAGAGAAAGTGGATCAGCGCGGCTCTCATCTCCCCTGTGGTCCAAATGTGTCCCAGCGCAGGCGAAACCTTCCCGACCGGAGCCGCAAAGATGCTCCAACCCGCGTGGAGCCAGGGAACATGCCTTCCCACAGACAAATCTCTCAAAGGATAAACTCTTCACAAGTCCGACAAGTTCACAAACCGAGCCCTAAAATCGACTCTATGAAAGCAAACGAACTCCTTTTAATACGTTCTTGTCCTTTTAATACATTAAATTAAGTCAAACCCACAAATCAGTGCGCGAGATCATTTCGCAGAAAAAGAAAACGTGAATGAAGCGATCCTTCATCCCTTCACCGCATCAGAATTTTATTTAAAAAAAAATTAATCCATATGTACTCCTATAGGCTCAAAATCGTGGGACAAAGGGTTCACATTTATCCAAAATAGTCCATCTTTATGCACCGTCCACACTGTGTCCTCACATAAAAGTGGTTTGGTTCAAACTTCAGCAGGTCTCGCAGCGTGGAAAGGATCTGACAGTGAATGAACTGCAGCTTCTCTCATCTCCTCATCTTAAACTCAACGAGCCGCGCGCCCCCTCAGGACGAGATAATCTCTGCTAACCACGAGCCTCTCAAGTCACCGCGTCAGTGAATGTGAAAACTGCAGTGGTGGGGATTTTGATTCATCTCAGTGACTCGAATCTTTAAAAAATGATTCATTCAGTGACCCTTTCTGCGGGTTACGTCAGTAGGTGACGACAAGCGACATCAGTCACTCAAGCAAATCGACGAAGACACCGTGTTTGTTTACAAATCTGTTCAGAAATGATCTACCACTAGAAATCGGAATGTGTCGCTTTGCTAAACCTATTAAGACTATTAATAATAAATTATTTTCACTTCGCTCTGCATTTCCTCAAGATTTGACAAATGAGGACGTGACATTCTGACAAAAAATGCGTCGCGTGTACTTGAAAGATAAACCGTCGCGTGTATTAAAATAACGAATATATTTTGCATTATATTCCGACTCTGGAGGTGAGTTAGCCAGGTGTTTTCCTCGGAGCTATTATAAAGTTAATAGTTAACACATTTCGTTCAGATTCAGGAGGTGTTTACATTAGCCGTGTTCTGTCAGACTAATGTCTAACAGGAGAAATAAGGGTGAGTGAGTTTCAGGGTCTGCTGAACCAGTGTTCTCCTCAGTTTTAGATGGGCGAATCCTTAATTAGCCCCACTGAGACAGGAAGCATCACAGACTGACAACTATTGAGGGGAAATTATTGGAAAGATAGCAACACTGAATAGGCTACAAAAAAAAAAGGAGAAGGTGAAGACAGCAGACTGCAGGAGGTGAGCACAATGTCCTAGAGTTGAAACAATAGCTGATAAAATAGACACGGCACACATATTACTTTCTAAATTGGGTTTGGTGCAAATTGGTGAGGTAAAAGTGAATAACAGAATTCTCTGGAAGCTTTCCATCCATTCCGCTCATACCAAAGACTGGAATTTTGTTTTATAACAATGCATTCTGGTTGTGCATGTTCTTGTTTCGTTTCATACAAGCGTGTGTGTGTGTGACAAGCATGAGTTGCATTCCTGACCCTGGCTTTAGCCGTAAGATGGAGAGGAATGTGTGAGGACCCACGCACACACACCAAAGCTTCAGCAGGTGAAGAATCTGGAAATCCAGCGTTTATGTAGTTCATGATTGACATCTCAATGAAGACAGAGGGGGGAAGGGGTATGAGGTCAGATGAGCTGAACTGAAAGGGCTGATACGGAAAGACGTTTTGATATGGATGGCTATCAAGTGACAGTTTGATATGGAGGAAAAAGGAAAAGCAAATGAGGGAACATTTGTTATGGCTGTGGTAAAAATAGGCAGAGAAAGAAGGGACTATGGGAGTTGAAGTCCCCTGAGATGCTGCCTTGCCAAAGAGAATGAGTCACGGCGCAACCACATCTATCAGTAATGTGTGTGTGGGAAACCTCCATGGAGCACATAGATGCATACTTGTACCTTTTCTGTAAGACGGACACACGGAGACCCACACATACCTCGAGCACCGGCGGTCCATGCCAAGCTGGGATTCCTGCCAAAACCAAAAACCTTTGCTCTCCTTCCCATCCATCCAAGCATGAGAATAGTAAGTTTAACTTCTATCGTGTGCAAACACTGCATGCTTTCTAGCTGGTCAAGCTCTTTACTTGAGGGACTTTTAAGGAATAGTTCTGAAATGAAAATTCTGTCATCATTTATTCACTCTGATGTCATTCCAAACCTGAATTTATTTCTTCTGTGGAATGCAAAAGGAGAATTTAATCAAAGCAATTTATAGTTTTAAGTATTATACTATATGTACATTTAGAATAATAACATATGGAAAAACTTTTGTCTGCCAAATAGAAGTTATGCTGCGTCCAAAATTTGACTACCTCCCTACTATACAGTATGCGGAAAAAGTACACTAAAAGAGTAGTATGTCCGAATTCATAGTATTCAAAAAAACAGTAGGCAGAAATTACCTGGATGACCTATACCAGTGCATTCAATAGACACTTTACTATCCCATGACGCTGGTAGGTCATGTGATAGAAACAACATGGCGAATGTAGTACATACGAGTTTCATTCATACCACCCATATTCATACTATAGAAAACATACTTCTTTTTTTTTACCGGTCGTGAAGTAAGTTCAAATTAAAATGTAGTACCTACTCAGACGATATGTGATTTCAGATGGACTGTTTGTATGCTGTAACTGACATACAGATGCCAAGTTTCGTCATATCACAAGAAAACCAAACTCAGAGGACCATTTTAGGCCTTCATGACTACGTGTTAATAATTTTTTTAGATCCATTTTTTATTCAGGTCATATGGAGTAACAATAAGAGAACATGATATTGTTCATGACTCAAAAAAAAAAAAGCATGATATTTTTCATTTAAAAAAAAGGTTTTTGAGATTTGATGGTTACACCACTTGACATTTTTATTTCAAAATATTTGAAGAAAAATATTTGTAGAAATTGTTATAAATTAACTAACAAAAAAAACTATTGCACTACAAGTTTTCTGAAGCTATATAAAACAAGCAAAGTTTAGTCGATGTAATTTTATATGTACAGAGCCCCACTTGTTAATTTATGTCCACATTTTAGTTAAACTGTGGCAACATATTAATTTATACCCACAACTTATTAAATTGTTCCCTTGTTTTAGGTATATTGTGGCCAAGTTCTACTTATTAATTCCCATGATTTACCTAAAACAAGGGAACAAATTAATAAACCATGGGAATAAATTTTTAATTTGTGGCCACAATAATTTGTCAACCTGATTTCACGGGAAAATTTTACTATTTCACTAGGTGCCGGTTTGTATGAATTTGCACAATGTGAATTGTACGAAAACATAGAATTTTTAGTATAAGCATGAAAGTACACCCCTGAATATTAAAAAGACACAAGAAGATCGTACAAAAGTACTAATTCATACAAATTATTCAGTTTGCCAAAATTGTTACGAATTACCATGACATTGTGTTGCATGTCATGTGCTCTTTACAGATGCTATTTGTTCTCATTTGTCTCATATTCGAGCATGTTGTGCCAACTTTGAAAATGTGGAGGCATGAATAAGAATGAAGAATTTGGTGTCCCAAAGTATTGGCTCTTATGAAAGTGAGTGAAAGTTGAGCAAGTGAGGAATAACGTGTCTTGAAATGCCATGCAGCATCGGTGCCAGAACAGTGGGACCAAAATATGTTCATCTGTAATGGAGCTTGGCAGTGGAATGACAGCAAAAGTTATTTTGGTTTGCTCTGCAGCACTCATGAGTGGACAATATATATATATATATATATGTACGTACAAAAGTATTATTGATGGGGGAGGAAAAACCCTCTGCTCTGTCTCTCCTCTGCCGTCTCTCTCAATTCCTGCACTGTTCATCATCCCCAGTGTCTCTGGCTCCTGCAGAGCTTCAGTGTGTCCGGAGGAATTAACAGACCAAGACCTCTGCCACCAAAGACAAACCCTCAAGCCCTCACAAGAATAACAGTGTGTTGCAATGCTTGAGCGAGGAGAAAAAAAATTAAGGGAAATTCCCAGGAGCAGTCCAGACAGTTTACACAAAGAGACACAGACTAGACTTCTCTCACCATCCTCCAATTACTGGCTTTGCGTATTTTCTTATACATTAACTGTGTGTGTTTGTGTTTGTGCATGTCTCATCTCATCCCTGTAAGCCATTTATTAAGGAGACCCTAAGATGGAAGAAGGAAAGAAAGGTGTGGTTGAGCATGTTTGCTGTACCTGGAAGGTGTGTTCTTTGCAGCGCGTGTAAGTCGTATCAAAAAATGTCTTTTAAGAAATATTAACTAGCATCCTTGCTTCTCCCTCAGTGTTGGGGAGTAACTAGCTGCATGTAGCGGTGCTGCTAACTTACCTTTTCAGTAGTGTGACATTAGCTCAGCTATTCTCAAAATAGGGGTGGGGGGATCCACTGTATAGAGCAATACTCTAATGGAATTAGTGGGCTAAAGTCAGTCACACCTCGACTTTCTTCCAAATAACACACATTTCATTCATAGTATTATAAATACAGGCCTATAGTTCCTGCACATTTTTGTTTTTCTGAATTGTGTGAAATGGCTAATAAAAATAGGTAGGCATTTTGGGAGACACAACAAGTGAATATGGAAATAAATTATACATCAATATTCCTATGAAATATTAGATATTATTATTAAAATGTTGCCAATTATTACTCCAATTATTACACTTCTTTTTTCATTAAATGTTGCTCCAAGAACACATTAATATGCAAATTAGATAGGGCGCTCGAAGGGGGTCTCGCCCAGGGTGTAATTCAATGTAGAACCGCCACTGCTTACAGCTAAGCAAGACATATTGAAATCAACATGAAATCCAAATGGACTTAATTTTCTTTCTTAATAGATGTTCCTGGTTTAATTCCAAAAATTATTTTGTAATGTTTCAGCAAAATGTGGCATCTTGCTAATAATGCTATACCAATAGCAAAATAGTTACATAGGCTACCACTCCTTTTGAAAAACTCACATTCAGTTACTATTCTTGTATGTAACTCTGACCTTTTAATTTAATTAGTTTTCAATGGATAAGAATTAGTCTGACATTTATTCTCCTTGAATATTCTATTTTAGTTAGAAATATATCACATTATGTAAGTGGAAAATTGGTTACATAAAGAAAAAATATCTCTTAAAACGTTCTCTCTCTCAAACTCATTAACTGAAACTAAAAAAATAAAATAAAAATAATATTTGTTAATTGAATTAAACCTCAAGTAAAATAAAACATATTAGACGAAAAATGTAAGAAACTTAAATGAAAATTTGCCTTTAGTTTAAAAATAGAGCTAAAAATAATAATAATAAAGACAAAAACTGGTTTAAAAAATGGCAAAATCACATGAAATGGCTAAAAACACTAAAATTACAATGAAAACTGAAAAAGCTAATTATGATAGTTATGAAACTTAATTTTCATAACTTTTTCATAATTATGAAAGCTATAATAGTATAATAATACAAAAATTATATTGCA